CCGATGAACCATGTATGGACCCTGCCAATTGGGAGAAAATTTCCCTTTGGCCTCATCTTGATGCGGGAAAATTTTCTTTAACACCAGTTGCCCTGGTGTGAACCGTCTTGGTTTGACTCTCTTGTTGAAAGCTCTGGACATTCTGTTCTGATAAAGCTGACCATGGCAAACTGCATTCATTCTCTTTCTATCTATAAGAGCCAACTGCTCGTGACGACTTTTTACCCACTCTGCATCGTCGAGCTCGGCTTCATGTACGATTCTTAAGGAGGGAATTTCTACTTCGGCGGGAATGACGGCTTCTGTACCATATACCAGGGTGTAGGAGGTTTCCCCAGTTGATGTGCAGACTGTGGTGTGATACCCCAATAGAGCGAATGATAGCTTTTCGTGCCATTGCTTATGTTTCTCTATCATTTTCCTCAATATCTTTTTGATGTTTTTGTTGGCGGCTTCTACGGCTCCGTTCATCTGCGGTCTGTAGGCTGTGGAATTCTTATGTCTGATCTTGAAGGTCTCACACATAGCTTTCATTAAGTCACTGTTGAGGTTGGAACCATTATCAGTGATGATCGACTCTGGAATCCCGAATCGGCAAACAATGCGGTCGCGGACAAAATCCACCACGACTTTCTTAGTTACTGCTTTGTAAGATGCTGCTTCAACCCATTTGGTAAAATAGTTAATTGCCACGAGGATGAATCTGTGCCCATTGGCCGGCTCGATTGGACCAATAACATCCATTCCCCAAGCGGCGAAGGGCCATGGTGAGCTAGTTGCATTAAGCTCATTTGGAGGTACCTTTATCAATCTGCATGTATCTGGCAGCGGTGGCATTTTTGGACGTACTGGATGCAGTCAGTCTCCATGGTCATCCAAAAGTAGCCAGAACGGAGTATCTTCTTGGCTAAAACAAAGTCGTTCATATGCGGACCACAGGTCCCAGCATGAATTTCCTCTAGCAGTTTAGATGCTTCCTTCGTATCGACACACCTTAGTAATCCCAAGTCTGGAGTCCTCCTATATAGGATTCCTCCGTTGTGAAAGAAATTGTTGGACAACCTTCGAAGCGTGCGTTTCTAAGTAGTGTTTGCAACCTCCGGGTATTCTCCTTTTGCTAAATATTCCTTGATATCATGAAACCAAGGCTTTCCGTCTGCTTCTTCTTCGACATGAGCATAGTAAGCTGGCTGATTGTGGATTTTTACCGGAATAGGATCAATGAAGTTTGTATCCGGATGCTGTATCATGGATGACAGGGTAGCCAATGCATCGGCAAACTCATTCTGGACCCTGGGGACATGCTGGAACTCTGTCTTTGTGAACCTCTTTCTTAACTCCTGTACATGATGCAGGTATGGTAGTATCTTGGGGTTCTTGGTTGCCCATTCTCCTCGTACCAGATGTATGAGTAGGTCTGAATCTCCAATCACTAGCAACTCTTGGATGTTCATGTCAATGGCCATCTTGAGCCCTAAGGTGCAGGCTTCATACTCGGCCATATTGTTGGTGCACGAGAACCTGAGTTTGGCAGACACCGGATAATGCTGGCCAGTTTCTGATACTAGGACTGCTCCTATGCCAACTCCTTTGAAATTTGCTGCTCCGTCGAAAAACATGCTCCAACCATCATAGGACTCTGCAATGTCTTATCCTATGATGACACATCTTCGTCAGGATAATACGTCTTTAGGGGTTAAACTCATGTCTGGCTTGAACTTTCTAAGCTTCTGTTTTACTGGCGGACAGGCTGGATTGGTTGGTAGTTTGTGCGCCACAATAGATGTACTCAGACCAGTCATGTCGTCGTACGACCAGGCGAATATGTCCTCATACTCTCTTAGAAACTCTGTATATTCTTCCTTCTCTGATGGTGATAAATGAACGCTGATTCATGTTTCTTTGATGTTTTCTGCATCTCCCAGGTTAACAATCTCAGTCTCATCCAGGTTGGACTTAGGTTTGTTCTCAAAATTCTCAACTTCTTTGACAATCTCTTCCGGTATGTCATCTTCTTCTGAATCTATGTCCGTTTGTTGCGTTGTCTCGTTGCATGTGACAGATGTTGGTTCATCAAGATAAGTAATAGTAATGTTGTATAAGTAAAGTAATGAGAGAAAATAATAAGAGTAAGATTTAATAAAATTGAAATGCTTTGATAAATTCCATAAGTGTTTTGAACATTGGAGCCCTTTTTGCAGAAAATAAAATGCGAAAAGAAAGTGAACTAGTAAAATAAAATAGTGCATGATGTTTGTTCAGCCTTGCTACCCCGAGGCACGCCGGGCTCTGGTAGTTCTGATGGTCCAATTATCGAGGCGTGCTCCTCTGCTTACAGCCTGTATGGAAGGGCCTTCCTCCCCCTCCCCCTCGAAAATGACATAGCAATCCATATCCTCGTCTTCTAGGAACAAATTCCTCATTACTGCCAGGGCTTCTTCTTCTTCTGACCCGTAGATGACCTCGGCCGGTTGGAAGTCTGCTCCAAACGGGGTATTGGTTGCTCCAGCGGATAGTAAGGACCGCGCCAGGGTGGCGACCATTCGTTAAATTCTTTCCAGGCATACTCATACCCCAATCCAAAGGTGGTTCCGTGTTTCTTGAGCTTGATGGGCTTAGCGATACCTTAGAGATTCTTGCCAAGTCCCTTGCCAGGTTCATACCCGCTCCAGTTCAACATGCTTTCAATTTTGTTATCCCACCACTTATCCTTATCGACGGCGTTGACTCGCTCGATGTGGTGGTAAGTTTCCCCGTCTATCTTTCTTCTTCCTCCGATCCGATCGCTGGGATGGTCTGGCGACTGTATATGGGATTGCTACCATCACCGTGAATGATCACCTCCTGGTGATTCTGTTCAAACTTCACTGCCTGATGTAATGTTGATGCCACGGCCCAACGGCATGAATCCACGGCCGTCCCAATAGCAGGTTGTAGGATGCCGGCACGTCTATTACTTGAAAATCAACATCAAACCAAGTAGGCCCCATTTGCAAACATAAGCTAATCTCCCCAATAGTAGACCTTTGAGAACCGTCGAAAGCTTTAACGTTGATGGCCCCGCCCTTGATTTCATGCAACCCTTTTCCCAATGTCCTGACTGTTACCAATGGACAAATGTTGAGGCTGGACCCCCCATCGACCAGGATCCTGGTGATAAAGTAATCTTCGCACTGCACAGTGATATGCAACGCCTTGTTGTGACTCAATCCTTCTGGTGGCAGCTCATCTTCATGAAAAGTGATCTTGTGACTTTCCAATACCTGGCCTACCATGTTGGCCATCTCCCCACCGGTGATGTTGCTCGGTACATATGCCTCGCTCAGCACTCTTAACAAGGCATTCTTGTGTGCATCGGAACTTTGTAACAAAGCAAGGATAGAAATCTGTGCCGGTGTTTTGTTCAGTTGATCAATGACTGAGTATTCTTTGGCTTGTATCTTTCTCCAGACGTCATCGGGCCCAGTTTCAGTGATGGTTTGTCGACCAGAGGTCTGCTTACTCGACTCATCCAAGTGTTTCGGGGTATAAACCCTGCCGGTTCTTGTCATACCTTGTGCCGCAACTACTTCCCCGAACTTGGCTTTTCCTTTCCTTTTTGCCTCGGCTGTGTAGTCCCATGGTATGGCTTTTGTGTGGAATGGTGTTACGGCTGTCATTGCTACCGAAATGGGCACCTTTGTTTTGAAATGTAATTTGGCAACTTCAAATGGTACAGGCGCCTTTGGGGACCCAAACTCGACCTCGATTGGTATTGGCGTCTTCGCAGAGGATGGTGTTTCAAACTCAAGTGGTATGGACATGTTCACCTCGGCATCTCTAAAAGGCTGACTCTGTAGTACAATCGGATTAAGGCTGACTGTTGGTTTCTTTGGATCATCGCCTTCTTTGATCAAACCGATCGATCCCTTGGGATCCCAATCATCCTCTATTTCAATCATGTGAACACCTCCACCCTTGTGGTCTGGTAGAGGGTTATTGCGGACATTCGGAGCAGGCTCCTTCGCCACGATGATCTTGTCGTCAATCAAAGCCTGGATCTTATCCTTCAGGGAGCGGCACTCATCAATGGTATGCCCTTTCATGCCAGAATGGTATGCACAGGTTTTTATTTGGTTGACCCAGTTGGAAGGGGTTTTTCAGGGGGTTATAGCAGGGATAGGGGTGACGTAACCNTAGAAACAAGAAAACCTAAAAACTTACCTGATGCAACACCGAATGCACATTTCTCAGGGTTTAATTTCATATTGAATCTTCGCAAAATTTGAAACGTATCTGATAAGTGCGATATATGATCCCTTGAATGTTGAGTTTTAACACCTGAGATTTGATCGCGGTTCTAGGCTGATAAGTAATGTCATATTCACATAATTCTATAGCCCATTTGGCTAATCTACCAGACAACTCATGTTTGTGTAATATATTACGTAATGGATAAGCAGTTACTACGGCAATAGGGTGACATTGAAAGTAAGGCCTTAATTTTCTTGAAGCCATGATTAGTGCAAGTGCAAGTTTTTCTAATTGAGGATACCGCGTCTCCGCATCTAATAATGATTTGCTGACATAATAAATTGGAGATTGTAAACCTTGGTTCTCACGAACTAAGACAGCACTGACCGCTACTTCTGAGACAGCAAGATAGATGAGCAATCTTTCTCCAACCTTTGGTTTTGCGAGTAACGGCGGATTTGACAGGTATGTGTTCAAATTTTTGAGCGCCTGTTGACACTCCTCAGTCCATTCGAACTGATCTTGCTTTTTAAGAGCAGAAAAGAATTTAAAGCACTTTTCTGATGATTTGGAAATAAATCTCCCCAAAGCTGCAATTCTTCCTGTCAACCTCTGCACTTCTTTTTTACTTATAGTATATCAGGGTATTTCTTCAATGGCTTTAATCTGCGCTGGATTCACCTCAATACCACGGTTAGAAANAAAATATTGGCATCCATACGTTTGTGACAAAAATAAGAGGGATTTCAGGAAGGGTACGAAATGTGTGCCATAATCATCAATGACTAAGTTGTCTTATGTTCTAGCAGATCGACCTTAACCTATCAGTTTTAGGTTGTTTACTGAGTAGTAAGGTACAAGCACCATTAACAGTTTGGTCAATCTGGGCAAAAGTCAATAGCAAATCTGTTGTCAATTAATGACACTTTGCCAAAGGAGGAAACACAGATATATGATTTCATTATCCGAATTGTTTCCAGGTGTGTCACTTACAATTGACCATGCAACCTTGCTGGTTAATGGTGTAACTGCAATTCAGAAGAAGCTATGAATATCCAGTATGTTCATCCCTTTTGTTATTCTCCACCATTGCATTATCCTTTATATCTTGTATCATTTTCAAGATTTGCCTCATTGTTGGTCTCTGTTCTGGTGATGTCAAGCTACATATATTAGCAAGGTCAACTAACATTGAGAGCCATCTATCCTCCTCATTATCATCCTCCCTCATAGCTCTAACCCAATCTGCCATATCAGGGGGGGAGAGATACGGATGCTGAGATGGAGGTTTACCCGTTAAAAGCTCTAATAAGAGAATGCCATAGGCATAGACGTCAGACCCTGGAGTGGCTTTTCGTGCAGATTTGCGAACTTCTGGTGCTTTATAGCGTGCTGAATCAGGATCATCATCGGAAGAAATGTCTGCAAGCGCAATGAGGGAGTAGTCTGTTAGACAGGCCTCGAAATCAGACCCTAGAAGCACATTTGAGGACTTCAAGTTGCCATGTGTGAGCTTTGATGCTTGATGTATGTAAGCAAGACCCTGAGCCGCATCTTCCGCTATTTTTAGACACGATGTCCAGTGAAGGGGCTTTGCCCTTGTCGATCTTGACCCTGCCACGTAAAACAGAAAATAGGACACAATATGTAAGATACAACATAATCTTAGTATTTAGGTGAAGGAAGCATCAATTTAAACACACGAATTACATAAAGAATCCATATCTTCAACTCTTGAACGTGGATAATGAACAAATGGTATGTGTGACTTAATCTATGAAAGTGAATTGTCAATCCATTGATAAAAAGGAACATGGAAGAGCGATATATTGTGTTCCTATGTATCTTTCTAATTTTATCCGATGCACACGAAGGAACAAGGGTGCTCTAGAATAGTATCATTGAACTTTTTCTTCTCTAAATTAACAACCTTTCATCAAACAAAGGTTCTCCCATAGGTAAGTTACACATTTGGTTAAGGAAAAGAAACACAAAAAGTAAGGAAAACATAAACAACATCAACCCAAGGGTGTGGCTAACGATCAAAAGTGAATGAAAACCCGTACATGTGCTGGTGAAAAGTAATAGGTATCTAATAAAATAAATGAGGTGTGCGCAAAAAAACTAAGGAAAATATCCTATTCAACAGAAAAGAGAGACGGAGCAAAGACATAAATGCAGACACAAGGACCATTTGCCTTAATAAAAAAAAATGAAAGGTAGTTGGGGGAAATAGTGCAATCAACCCATACGGATCAGTCAGTGACAGCCTGAAACCAAAAGACACTACTACTATTTGACTGCCCTGTGAACGCAAACATTGCAATTGTCGGTAGTGAGCTCAGTGGGATCCCATATTAAGCATCCAAACTAAAAGCTAAAAAAAGACCCCTGCTACTGCAACCACTGAATGATCCAAAAGATTACAGCCCACTTCTGTCCACAAAAGAGAAAAATGCTAGTAGTAGTTGTTTGGTGCAGACAACTCATTCTTCCACTGCTTCCTCCCCCCTTCCACAGGTCCACCAAATTGACACCACAGTCCACATAAACTAATTAACAAAAAAAATGAAAAGTAAAACCATTTCAAATGAGTAATCAGCAAAGTTAGAAACTTTTACCATGAATGAGATTGAAGAGACTGCCATTAGGCTGATAATCATAGATAACAAGCCTTTCTTGTTTAGCTTGAAAGTATGCTCTAACTGCAACCAAATTTGGGTGCCGTAACATTCCTACTTCCTCCATGTGCTGCTCAAACGCTTCGCCACTCGTAATTGAAGTTTTACAAGCATCCAATCGCTTTACTGAAACTATCAATTGACTAGCCATTACAGCTTTATACGTTGTTCCAATTGTGCCCCTCCCGAGCAGCTCTGCTGATGCTCTCATTAGTTGCTCTAAAGTATACAACTCTGTTTCTCCTGAACAAAATATCAGATTTCCACTCTTTAATTGCTGTTGAGAGACTTGAGCCACTTTCACTTCCTTTTCTAATTTAATCTCTAATAATTGGCTATTATCAGCTGGCACTGCATTGTGGGTAATTGTCTCAATGGTGCATTTTGTTGCTTTTGGTTCAGTTTCACTTTCTTCTCTTCTCTTTCTTACCAAAGCAAAGATACACAGAACAGCTGCAATTAAAATCAATGTTCCAACCACAAAACCCAAAACGACACCAACTTTTTTGTGCTTATGCTGAGGTGAAGGAGTAAGAACAATACCCTGCGACTGTGCATCTTGGTATAGCGGTGAGGGCCGCGGGGAGGCAGCAGCTGAAGGCGAGTCAAAGAATGGAGTTGACGGGCATGGCGTGTTAATAACTTTACCACAAAGATTAGGGTTCCATAAGAATGAGCGTTCGTTAAATTTCTTCAGAGTCGGAGTAACAGGTATTGAACCAGTAAGGTTATTTCTAGACACATTGAAGATTTGAAGTTGGGTTTGGTTCAATGGCGGAATCGAACCGTTGAACGAGTTAGAATCAAGCCGGAGATAGTTCAACCGGTCTAGAACAGTAAGCCCAAGAGGGAGTGAACCGGAGAGATTATTATGGGACAAATCGAGGATAATGAGGCGGTGAAGAGAAAGAAGAGGAAGAGGAAAAGTTGCAGAGAAAAAGTTATGATCAAGAAACAGAGTTTTAAGGTTTGTAAGACCAGAAAGGTCAGGAATAGGACCAGAGAGTGAGTTGTTCCTAAGATTAAGGATTCGGAGCTGGTCAAGATGAGTTAAAGTGTTGGACTGGAAAGTACCTCTAAGACCAAAACTTTGAAGAGCAAAACGTACAACACGACCTTGCACGCATTTCACTCCTTGCCATTGACAATAGTCAAAACGCTCGTTGAGTGTGTAAAGAAGCTTGTTGTCAAGGTCAGCTTTGGATTTGAAGGATAGTAAAGATACAGCGTCTGAGGGAAGTAAAGAGTTTAATGGAGCCGATGGTGTACTAGTAGAAGAAGAAGTGGAAAATAGTTGAAGAAAACAGAGAACAAGCATCAATGGGGACATTGCAAGTTTTCAACTAACAAAATCCAGTGCTTGGTTTAGTGACTAAAGGCCAAGTTAGTGTTTGTTTGTCATGTTGTTTGGTTTAATGTAAGAAACGAGGTCTGGAAAATGGACTGAATTTTGGGAGACAGTGAGCTATCGGTTTCCGAGAGGGGGGGGGGGGTAAGTAGGGGGTGAAGGAGAAGTAGTACTTTGTTGCGGAGCAGCTGGCTTAAAACATGGGTCAGTTGTCACGTGAAAGGCAGAGTTTTGAAGAAAATATGGAAATTGTTTGGGTATAGTCATTCGTCCGTCACTCTGAAACTTCTGCTAATTTTAGTCATTTTGTTTATTCAAGGGCCCGTGAATGTTTCACATTTTTGAATTTGTCTTAACACACTGCTACATACATTCCCGAAAATAGTCCTCATTCCTGTTGTTTTTGAAGTTCTTTGCTTTTGCATTAATGAACAGCATGCTAAATTTATACACTAACAACTTAGATTTAAATACTAGTTAATTATGAATTTTTCAGATTTGATAAAAATGTGTCAAATACTTGCAACATTTGTAAAATAATAAATGTATTATATATATAGATTTCCCAGAGAGTGCTTTTTCAGTGCGTTGTAACCAACAACTCAAGCGATCAAGGGAAGGAGTTGGAGTTCTATCTCGGTTCCATAGAATGACCAGTTTTTTTGTCTCGAAAACCGCTTGGAAACATCATAGCGAAGAAGTCGAGGCCAAACAAAAGAAGTAAACCTGAAGTGTTGCGAAAGACTGGGATAAGAAACAAAACGGAATGTTACAACCATCAAACCAGAGACCAAGGTGGGTAGCTATTGTTGGCCCAGTCAAAAGTTGCATAGCGCTTGTGTATTGGTCAAAATTTGGACTGGACTTAATAACTGCAAATGGACTTTGTCGAGGATTAAGCCGACCACTGCACAATGGCGAGGAGTCGTCTTAAGAAGGATTAATGCCGAGGTCAAGTAAAGAATGTAGGGAATCAACGATAGAGTAAGTTTAGAATAGAAAGAAGGAATATTTCATTGGATATTCTTTCTGTTGTACTTTTTAGGGTTTCTTAGGAATATCCCTTATAAATAGGGAGAGATAAAGAACAAAGGGGGGATCTTCACATTTCTAATAAGAGCACATTGTAAAGGATTGACTACGAAAAATATACAAAAGTTTGTCTTGTCCACTTATTACATTGTTCGATATACACTTTTTATTCACAAGATCCAAAGATTCCTTGTCCATCTTCATTTTCAATTACTCTACGTTGTTGTTGTCAGGAAGGAGAATCACTAAGTCATCTAACAATTGGGTGATAAATTCCTTCTTATTACATTCATTGCCATTATCTACATTTATTGCATGCTTTTATTACTCCATTCACTGACAATCATTGAGCATTTGCAGTTGGTATACAACATTTTCGGATTCAGCCCCACATCATCAATACATCTATACGTTAGATCTAGTGGTTATTATATTTAACTAGGACTAACCCTCTATTTCCTCATTAATTCGTTTTAAGAAAAGGTTTAACACTTTTTGGGTAAAACAATTTGGTGCTGTCTGTGGGGAGTTTCTAGTTAAAATTTTAGTTTCCTCTAGATCAAAAAAAAATTACGACAACAACCATCTTTTTCTCGTTTGCACGAACTAACAATGATAGGAAAAGAAGATGAAAGACTAAAAGCAGTAGTGGGCGTCACTGCCGACCTTTTGAACACCATCAACGAGGTTGATAGAGAAGACGAGGAGAATGTGACACCGAGTGCTACACCCAGGCGGAGTGACTCACCTCCCCCTCATGGAAGTGTAACCGCTTCACGCAAAAGGGGAGCCTCTACGTCCACAACTGAGGAAGCGCCACCAGCAGTGAAAAGCTACTGGGGGTGCGGTTGACAAGTACTCTAAATAACATACTCGACAAACCTGTTCAAAGGGCGAATAGAAGCGCCACACAAGCGGATACCACATCAACCGCCAACGAGCAACCTGCTCTTGTTCCTCTCCCAACAGGTAACATTCACACCGCTGTTGATGCAGGTAGCGACGCACTTGCGGCCATCCTAAAGAAAATGGAAGAAATGGAGAACAAGAATAAAGCGCTCCGCGACCAAACGAGGAAGCATCAAGAAAGGGTAGATAAGATACCCGGCGCCTCGAAACTGCTACCAAAATGGAACGTCGGCCGGTTCGTCGAACAACCGTACAGCGAGGAGGCAGCCCCACATGCCATATCCAAGACCTTCAAAATGCCACCATATTTGAAGATATACGATGGCACAACAAACCCCGAAGATCATATCATTCATTACGTCACAGTAGTAAAAGGCAACATCCTCTTAAAAGAGCAGGTACCATCAGTGTTGTTGAAAAAGTTCGGCGAAACCCTAACAGGGGGAGCCTTAAGATGGTACTCACAATTACCGGCACGTTCAATTACAACGTTTGAGGAAATGACCGACAAGTTCGTCACCGCCCACGCTGGGGCTAAGAAGGCGGGGGCCAGGGTGAATAATATATTCGCCGTCTGACAGTCGCCTGGCGAGGGACTTAGGGACTTCCTTGCCCGGTTCAACACAGTAAGAATGAGCTTGCCAAACGTATAAGAAGGGATGGCGGTGGCCACTTTCCAAATGGGTTGAACAGGAATGGGTCGAGGGCAACCATAAAGCTGTTAAGCAGATTCATGAAATACCCTCCCACCACTTGGGAAGAAATTCACAACGCCTATTGTGCCGAGGTGAGAGCAGACGAGGACGACCTTAACGGTCCAACCCAACGGCTAACGTCAGTCCAAACGGAGTCGAGGAAAGACCGTCGTAATGACGGTCGATGAGACCATCCAGGTCCACGCCTCAACCGGGACAGGCACCAACCATATGTCAGAACGACCATCCCACCATCTCCTCGCCATATAGAAGGGCTATCCAGGCCGCATACAGGGACTCAACAAAATGAAAGAGGTATGCCTCCACTCTTATCTGCTCACAATTTTTGCGTTTTCCCTTCAGAAATAGTGTATGCATTAGAGAAGCTCGTCCTGAAGGTGAAGTGGCCACAAAAGATGAAGTCTGACCCAAGTACCAGAAAGTCGAACGCCCTCAGTGAGTTTCATCAGGAGCGGGATCACAAGACCGAAGACTGCATAGCCCTATGGCAAGAAGTGGTGAACGTGCTTCACCAAGAACACCTATGGGAGCTGATGAGCGATTGACGAAGAGCCAACTTCGGCCGGGGACGAGAACAACACCAAGGCCCTCCAAAGCTACCCTCCCCGCCCGTACCATCCAAATAATCATCGGCGGAGACGATGAAGTAAAAAATCAATCACGTAAAGTTCACCACCACACATAAACTGATGCAGTCGATCACCCATGAACGGTATGATGACCTCGAAGACAGTATCATCTTCCTTAAGTTAGATACCCACGGTTTGACCTTTCCTCACTTCGATGCTCTTGTCATTACTTTACGTATTTCAGATACTGACGTAAAAAGAATAATGGTAGACGATGGGAGCGGCGCGTGTATTATTCACCCTCGAGTTCTCACACAAATGAGACTCGAGGACAAGATAGTACCACGCTACATAACCCTAACAGGTTTTAACAATGCAGTTGTGCGAACCTCAGGAGAGATAACGCTGCCCGTTCTGGCCGGAGGCGTCACCCTAGAAACAACTTTTCATGTCATGAACCAGGACACAACTTACAATGCCATCATAGGGCGACCCTAGATACACGCCATGAGGGCCATCCCGTCCAGCTTATATCAAGTAATCAAGTTCCCTACTCCGTAGGGGATATTCAGCATTCGAGGCGAACAGTGCACAGCCCAAGAATGCTACCGCATCGCCCAAGATTGTACACACACTCAACAGTTAAAGGGAATAGGCTCGGAAGCATCACAATTACCAAAGTCGAGGCCCGAACCCGACGAACAAAAAGACGTTATCAAGGATCCCGACGTCGTGGAGGCCACAGGGTCAACGATAGAAGACCTCGACCCCGTCAAACTATACAACGACGACTACATAAAAAGGCTTACATCTCAGAACCAGGTAAATTCATAAATTTTTAATTGACAACGCCGATCTGTTCGCTTTCTCCCATGCAGATATGCTAGGTATTCCGAAAGACATTGCCACGCACCAGCTGAATGTCAATCCACTCTACCCACCAGTACGACAAATCAGAAGAAAGTTTAACGCTGCTATCGATGCCCCCTTTTTCTCGCAAAATCGGGTTTATGACATTCGGGAGGACAACTCGTTTCCTTTTGGAAATTGGGTTTGAAATGAAGAGTCGCCATCTAATAATTAAGTGCACTAAGACACTAAGAAGAATTTTGATTTAGAAAATCAGAGATTGGGTAAGGGCTCGAAATTATCTCGAGGGGAAGGTGTTAGACACCTCTCGAGATCCACTAGTGTGGTTCCCGGCCATACTATAATTGTGCCTTTAAGTGCAAACAACAAATAGACAAATAGGAGTTACAAATATGAGGGGGGGGGGGGGTTCACATAATTGTTGCAAGTAATTGCAGTTAAGCGAAGTCAAAGGAACTGAAATTTGAGAAGAAGCAGTTTTAAAAATTCTGAATAAACTAGTAAAAGAGGGGAATTTTCATATAATTGTTGCGAGTAATTGAAGTTAAAAGCAGTCGAAGAAGCTGGAATTTGAGAAAAAAGGCAGTTTTGAAATAAAATAAACGAGTAAAGGGAGGAGGGTCCTAGGTTTATAAATAATATGGATCACCCCACACAACACCCGGTAACCGTTTATACACGTGGTGTTATCGCGTGGTCATCATGTCCATATCTATCCTTTTCCACCCCGTTAAGGTATTAAATGCAGAATGGTCTCGTTTTACTTAATGCATGCTATTACCCGCCCCAATCCTATCAGTCCCGGAGGTATTTGGGACTACTAATCCTAAAGGGAAGGGGTGTGAGGTTTTATAGTTTCAAAGGACAAAATTCTAAGGCGACAATCAAAACACATATATAGCAAATTTGGGGAGAAGCACATAACAGATAGAAAGGCTCAAACAGACCTCCTTAAAACAAAGAGAAGCATATAGTTTAGCATGTCTTGCACGTACTGGTTAGAGTCTGATTAAACTTAAGAGTTGTGGTAGACTGATCTATTACATATTTCAGATAAGAAGCCCGAATCAGGCCTGCCTGCTGGTTGTAGTTAATAAAATCTGATTCAGTTTATAAGTTTACCTTATGGCTTGCCTAAGTGTTAAACGAAAACCTATAGGCATGATATCTATTAGTTTCAGAAAAGAAGTATACTGATTTTAAGGGAAAGAAATTGTCAATTACAGGAATATAAATTCTGCGGTCGTTATTGTTGCTACTGATTTTAGACTCATAAGCGAGTG